TGCAGTGCATCATTTGAATTGATACAGTATCTGTGATTGCAGGTACCAGTGTAGCAATTAAAAAAATTTGATGTACTACTAGTCTTTGACTTTCATGTACAAAAACCTGATAAAGGCTATTTGATAGCTGCAAAAAAGGTTAAGAACTTGAAGTTCCTGGAGACCATGAAGGCAATTGCTTAGATGCCCCACCTGACTGCCTTGGTCACCTTCAATTTGTTGACTAAAGTTTCAGTAAAACCAACACATTTTCATAATATTTTGCCTCAAAAATGAGTGCTCTCCAAGTTCGGAAGTTCAAGCCCTGACAGTCTGTTTATTCAGTCATCTAAGCGGAAAGCCAATTTGTTGTCTAATTTAAAGTGCTTTATTGAATTTTGCAGGTTCCCTTCAAAAAACACCATATGTTCTGTCCCACATGGCCACATTCATTTTTTGTCCAACAGCGCAATTTTTGAACAATTTATTGACATTGAAATGCTTATTTTGTATTCCTATTAATCCTATATGAAAAAAAACTTTTCAAAATGAGATTTGTACCTAGTTCTACATTTAGGGTTTGCTGATGTCAGCAAAAATAGATAATAAGTATTTCTCTATTAAGGTAGAAGCTCTACTCATAATTCTTGACAAAGTTGGTCATAAATTGTACGACAGTGTTCATTGGTCTATTATGTAAAATCATATAGCTATTGTTCCATACCACTGTGAAATAGCAGTGTTCCAGTGGCATATTTTGAGAAATTCATCCTAATATTTTTCAAAAATCTCTTTTCAAACAATTTAATAGAGCACAATGTTTTTAAAAACATTTTGACACATTTTAAATCTCAGATTTTTGAAATAATTTAGGACAACAATAAGTACCCCCATCATTAACAATGATTTTTTTTTTAGCCGATGTCACCATGCTAGATTTTGAGATATTGCATATCGGTAATATCTCTGCCATAGGAACCTATGGTAACACATTATAATGCTGTCAAAATGACTACTATCCACTAAAATATAACCATAAATTTCTCTAAAAATTTAAGCTGGTCAATATCCTTGTTATGCCCGGAAGTACAATATATTGAAAAATGATTAAATTGTATTCCTGAGTAGGCTTTCTACCTTAAGTGCACAAATTTTGTTTAATTAGATAATCATCTTGATTATATACAAATCTTCTGCAGAATACTTTATTGTCATCACCATTTTAGTGCACAGCAGGATATTCATTGATCTCTCATAAGTTGTATATAAAATACAAACTATAGAGAAAATGACTTTTCACTTGATTTTTACTTTACCGATTTATTTTTCCCAGAAAAAGAAACTGTGAAAATAAGTTGCAAATGAAAATAAAGTAAACTGCATTGAGTAGTTGTTCAAACATTAGACAACGGGTGATACATTATGTATGTATCTTCAGTTTGTCATGTTCTGTTGATTAATTAGTGAAACGAAAATTGTACCTGCACCCCCTGCCCTAATACGTAATGGAAACGCATGCGAGTGCATTGTTAGTTTCAATTTGTATTTGGGGATAATTGGATTATACTACATTAAGTTATATTTGTTTAGTATTCCCTGTAATTCAGTTTTGCACTGAGAAATGTTGCGATTTCATCGCAAATAAAAATTGCACGAAACTGAAAGGATTGTTTTTCAAATTGTCCACATCTCAAGAAAATAGAGCTTCAAGTAACACTGATGGTGGTTTAACACAATGACTTGTAACTAAATTGTTATTCTTATCTCTAATTGTACCATGGAAGGTATTAACATTAATATCTTCCATGATTGTACCAAAGCATTAAAAACTACATGGGACTGGTACAATTAAGGTTAAGTTAGTGACATACTATAATCATCATTGTGTTAAAAAAAAAAGTCATCATTTAACTGACTGTTCCTGAATTCTATTTCTTTCTCTATAGAATGTGGAGAATGCCAAGACTGGTGGTGAGTAGACGAGATTTGGATTACTGAAATCTTGTCTGTTATCAAGTAGCTCTGTAATTCACATGGATTATAGGGCTTAAATCTACAATTGGGTAATCATACCTAATTTGACCTTTGACCTGATTTACATGGCTTTCCATATAAGGTAGTATTGTTCTGTGGTAACAGATACAATGTAAGTAAAACTTGAGATCTGAGTGAGTGTCATCCAAGATGAATTTGAGTGACACTTTCGCAGTATTTAAAGTATTTGCAACAATCAGCACCTTGCATGAAGTTCAGTACTCGTTAAAAAAGAACTGATCACTATGGTTACTTCACAAAAATAAGCTCTAAAATATTGCGAGTTTTTGTTGCAAATGCATAATTATATATTATTAATTTTCGTTCACTGGTGATGTGTTGTTGCTGTTTTTATTGTGAAAGGATTCAGCTAAATATGGAGCCATTCTTTCAGATTAATAAGCAGAGGTTGTAAGGCAATGCAATGCCAGTGAATTATAATAGTAATATAAGAGATTATTCATAAGAGATTAGTCAATTCAGTGTAATTCAATCTATTCTATTTTTGCGAAATTTAATATGACAGTTTAGAAATAAAAGTAACTAATTTTTTAAAGCTCCTGCATGAATAGACCATTTTTCGTTCACTGCGAGATCCTGCGTTATGCGTGAAATCGAACGTAAAAACAGGACAAACAAAGGTCATAGTGGCAACAAATATCACATGGGATTCGACAAACGAGAAGCTATATTGGAGGGATATTTCTATGCTTAAGTCAATAATGTGCTGTACACATTTGATGATGGTCATCTTCGATGAAGTAAGGGTATTCAAATGCAATATTTCCCAGTCAAAGATCGGCATTTTGATGTGAGCTACGAAATGAGGAAATTCGTGTTCAAAATAAAAGCAATTTTTGCGACAGACGTTCGGTGTGTTTTTCACGCAATGTGCGAGATCTCGCAGTTGTATGGAAAATCACCTATTGGCATTTTGGAGTTCTCGGTAAGTTAAAAAAGGAAATTTTATAGTGAGCAACTATTCCTTGAGTGGAGCAAATTCTTTAATAATAAAATAGATATCACAAGTCTGTCCATAATTCTTACTGAGAATTGTGAATACATGTAAAGATATAACTGTTTGCACAACTTGCATTCCGTGTGCTGGAATTAAATATTAAGAGGTTATTTAGATTCCTATTTATGATAATAGTAGATGGTACATTCTGATAAAAAAAACGAGGGTGACTAGTATGTTTGTGTTCTGATTCTCATCTACCAAAAGACCGAAAAACTGCATTTTTTTGTCATTTCCATGTTATAAAGTACCTTCGGTTGTGGTATGAAATAAATAACACACGAGTGAAAAATGCTGCATTGCTCATGCTTGCATACATGCAAAAACGCCCACAGAGCTGAAAAATGAATTTTTGATTGACCAATAATTCATTTTCCAAGTAATTTGCATGGTATTGCCAATAAATACATACATGCCATGTTGCATGCCATGTGTTTACCCATTTGATACCACAAAGGTGATTTTGGTTCATTAAAACATGGATTCAAACGCAGCTTATGTGCCCTTAATTCAAATAGTTGCTCACTAGGCTTTGCTTCTATTGATAGGATACTCGTAGTGTATCGTTATCATTGCCAAACAAAAAAGCTTAGTGCATAAAACAATTTTCAGCATATATATAAAAGACAACTATGTTTATGTGTATACAGTGACCTGTTAAAACCGAATAATTATAACTAATAACAGTTAACAGTATTATTCGGTTTTTAAAGGTCATATTACAAGCAAGTCTACCATTATAGAGTAGAACTTGGAAAAAAATGTTCAATTCAATTGAACCTGTATTGTATACATTGCACAAGACTTGTATCCAACCACTATCTAACTTTAGCTTTGTCTTTAGTAACTTCATAGTTTATGACTTCAAAAGTTAAAAACACTAAAATTGGGATGGTCTTTAATGTAGTCAATTGCCTATAATGGGTTTCTGAAAACAGATAAAGGGTCTCCAAATGAAGCCAGTGGGCTATGATGGGATGGAATAGATCCAGTAGGCTATTATGGGTTGGAATGGAGCCAGTGGGCTATGATAGGGTGGAATAGATCCAGTAGGCTATTATGGTTTGAACTGGAGCCAGTGGGCTATGATGGGATGGAATAGATCCAGTAAGCTATTGTGGGATAGTATAGAGCCAGTTGGCTTTGATAGGGTGGAATAGATCCAATAGGCTATTATGGGTTAGTATAAAGCCAGTGGGCTATGATAGGGTGGAATAGATCCAATAGGCTATTATGGGTTAGAATGGAGCCAGTGGGCTATGATAGGGTGGAATAGATCCAGTAGGCTATTATGGTTTGAAATGGAGCCAGTGGGCTATGATGGGATGGAATAGATCCAGTAAGCTATTGTGGGATAGTATAGAGCCAGTTGGCTATGATAGGGTGGAATATATCCAATAGGCTATTATGGGTTAGTATAGAGCCAGTGGGCTATGATAGGGTGGAATAGATCCAGTAGGCTATTATGGGTTAGAATGGAGCCAGTGGGAATTAAGTTTGAAGCTAGTGAACTGTAATGGGTTAAATTAAACCAGTGGGCTATTACCCGGTATTGGTTGTGGGTATATACTATATTAGATTAAGAGAAAATATTTGTTTTTCTTCTAGCTCCGAAAGTGAAATTTGTGAAAAAGAAAAAGAAAGTTGCCAAGATAGCTGCACATCTAGCAACAATAACTGAACCTCTGCTTGGTGAGTATAACTTCCAGACTTCCTAAATTTTGACCGAATATCTTTCTTTCTGGTTCTACACGCATGTTTTAGGTTATGTATATGTATCATATTTGTACAGTTACAAGTGCATCTATAAAAGTGTACATTAACCAAAAATTCATTTTTATTTAATATGTGCTCGATCATTAACACCCCACCCCAGTTGTTGTTACATCATGATAGGATATAGCATACAATGCAATATACATGTTTATGCTCAGATGAAAATCTTGTGTGCACTGAACAACCATTGTGTCGCTTTATACCATTGCTGATACTTATTTTGACCATAAACACACCTCATTTTCAATTGAGCTGTGTTTATTCCAGTAGTTACAGCAATATTATACTTTCAGGCTTGGAGTTTATTACTGAGCATCAGAAAGAAGATGAATCTGTTGAGGAGCGCTACGTTTGTGAAATGTGTTCTGCCAAATGTGATCCAAGAACACTCGTACCTCATCTTCTTGGTATTAAACATAGAATAGGTTTCATGGTAAGTAGTATATACTGCAAAAGTATATCCAGATTCTAATTTTCCATAGAAAATTTTGATTCTAATATGGAAAATTCCCAATTCTAAATTATGGGCACTTAAAATAATCCCCTCAAAATATTATCAAAATTTTTGCTCACCATGTGACAGTTAATGCACAGAGTTTATTTTGTGTCTTCATACCATTATCTGTCATGTTGACCTCGTTCATTTGTCTTCATCTTGTTGTGTTAATTTATCAGAAACAACATGACAAGACTTTACTGGAGGAGATTCTAAAACCAGAAGCTAACTTGAAGAAAAGCGAACAGAATGTGAAAATACTGGAAATTGCTAAGAAGATTGAATCTGAAATTGGCCGAAAAGAAGTACAAGTAAAAGTTGAGCTAAATCCTTTCTACAATCCGACTGTCACACAGCAGCCAGCAAAACGACAGTTGGATAATCAACAACAAACTGGATGTACGTCTGTAAACTATACTTCATGTTTCTGATCACAGCTGTGTTTGTATTCACCTACTTCATGTTGAATTTGATGCTTCCTGGTGTCAATTTACACACATTTTTAAATAAATCTATTTTGGGAAACTATAGTAAAAACTCAATTTTCAATCTCTTTACAAATTCAATATGTAATTCTTTGTGCAGTTTCTGTAATTTGGGCATAGTTGTGATTCATACTTTTTCAGTGCATTCAGTAAAGGACAAACCTCTGGGTTCACGAGTCCTATCTATGTCTCAATTTTTTTTTTTTTCAATTTTGACTATGTGGCGCTGAATTGAATTCTTGCAAAATTGAAAAGAGTTGACATTCTTTTTTGCAATACGATTCCTCTTGATTGATAATATCTCGCATGTTAAACTATTTTCCTAGATAATAAAGCCCAGAGAGTTGGTGGTGGGAGAGGTGGAAGAGGTGGTTACTCTGGTGGAAGAGGGGGACGAGGTGCATACGGAGGTACTGGTGGGACAGGTGGTTAGTATAAAAAAACTTAGTATTTTTCCACAAAATAGTAAAATACATACATGTTTATCACAATCTCCATGTATTTTTTGAATAATTATGGTTCGTTTTAATGACTATACCGGTAGATATCATTTCAAGTATGTTGCCATTTCTACTTTTCAAATTTGCATACATTTTTTTAAAATATATTGTGATAATTACTCAACTTAATTTGTATAACATAATGTACTATGGATCACCGCACAAATATATTCTACTAAAAAGGTCATAATTCTTGTCATTCAGATATTTGTCCCTGTCAAAATTGTCTTTGACATAAAAAAATTAATCTGTTCTCGTGTTTTTTGTATTAACAGGTGGTTACAACAATTACGGTCAGGGTGGTAATCGTGGACGTGGACAGAAACAAGACTATAATGGTGGTCAGTCTTCATATTTAGGTGGTAGCTACAACACTAACTATTCAACTAACACTTTTAGAGAAGATTACAATAACTTGAATAAAGGTAATGAAGACAGGTGGTCTGCCGGCAACGTGAACAGAGGATCTTCTTTTGATTCATTTTATGATGATAAAACTCGGTGAGTTACACATTATTGTTCGTATAACTTTCTATTATAAATCACATCAGATTTTACTTTGTGACCTAGCCTTCTGATATTTGATCAGTCATCTTTGTATGCACAAATGTTGTTGTTAACCATGGGGAATGCTCATAACTAAATTCTTTTTTTTCCTGAAATTGCCAGAGGATCAGGTTTTAATGACACTGATCGGTTTGGATATGGTGGATCAGGCTCCGTTGGCTTTGGTGGTTCGGGCTCGGTTGGCTTTGGTGGAGCATCACGTTACAGTGCCAGTGGCACAGGATTTAGTGCCGGTTTTTCGGTGAGTTTTATACAGTTATTGCATGAAAAACGCAAACCTAATCTTTGCCATAAAAATAGTATGATTTTGAACTTGAATATCTCTCAAGAGGGGAATATGACATTGAGATACCCTTAATTCATCAATATTGAGCAAGGAAATATCCCAAAAAGTACTTTTCAGTTTGTTGAATCTGATACTATGTTATGTACTTAACTCTCGTGCTCTATTGAATAATGTACATTAACACAAAGCAGCCAAAGATTAAACATGTCAAACATTTGTACTAACATGACTGTGGCTATTGTATCGTTACCCAAATGTCCTCAGTATGATGATCAAATATTTTGTAGTGAGGAAAAACTACCTCGTTTTGTAATGATTCAGTTCGAGGTTTGGGTGTCATAAAATCTACCAAAAAACATGTGAAGTGTACAATATGTGAATGACAAGTACAACATTCTATTCTGATGAAATGAAGCAGTACAAAGTCAATACAATCTACAATCCAGAGCCCAGGCAATAATTTTTCCATTCCCTTTTGATAAAAACATAAAGAAAGTGTAATTTAAGACAAAGCAACATAGTGTCCTTAAACGATCAAGGTGGATCACAGCATGGGTGAAAATTTTGATTATTTACAACTTCTTCAAAACTGAGTTAATGGCATACTGCAGTTTTATGGTATTGGGTGAAGTAAAAAAAAAAAGGTTGTTAGAATTTGTTCTTTCCTTACAGGGTGGAGATTCAAGAGAAGCACCAAGCATGTCCAACTTATTAAAAGATCTGGTAGGTCAAGTTTTACCCAACTTTTATAATAAATACATGCTTACGATAATAGTAATACCGGTACTCATGTGCTTTCAACAGTTTGTTGTGGCCCAAACCTCTACTTAAAGCACATCTCAGAATGGGGTCTGAACATTTCAGACATTCCTATTATATTGCCAAGTAAGTTTTATATTGTTTTTTCATTTATTTTAGTCTAAATGTGTGGTTCGTAACGAGGAAGATGCTGCCATAGCATTGCAGGTGTCTAATGCTTTGACCCAGGCACTATTGAACTACAGAACCCAAGGCATGACCAATGAGGTAAGTCACTCTGTCAAATATATTCTTTTCAGCTGTAAAAATACAACATGGATTAATTTCTGTAAAACTTGGAACATACCTAGAAGATTATCCAGCCTTGGATGCTGCATACTTCTCCAATTACATTCACCAGCATATCATGCAACACATGCTAGATGCCGTCTATGATCGTAAAAGTCTACTCGGTCTGTTGTGCAGTCTGTGCATGCAAGTTCCCATGGTAATGTACTGAAGTTATGGAGACAGCCAAATCAGTGTGTCGATTACGTTGTTATATGTACAGGTGCAATTCACCAGATCATTCTTGAGTCTACGAAATTGCTGGATTCCAGGCTTGGGGACACTTGTACAAAATACCTTCATTTTACCTTCTTACAATGGAAACTTGGGGGACTGTAACATACTTAACTCTGGTCTTATGTTGGATCAATATCATGAATTTGTTTATCAGAAATATTTTAAAAAACAAAAATGTTCTAACTCATTTTTTCACATTCATATTTTTAGTATGGTGGTTCCTCTGATGGTAGTGGTTTGGGAATGATGGGTCATCAATCATCGTCATTGTTATAGGAAGGAGCATCGGATGTTTTTAAAACAGAATGTTTTACTTTGTCTTTTTTTTTTTTTCTTACTGTTGAATGTTCGTTTTGTCAGTATCAACACTTGTATGTGTAGTGGTTTTTGTTTCTGTGCTGTCTGTCTTCAAGCAACTGAATTATTCTTGTATAATAAAATCTGCCATTAGGTATAGTATTGCTGTGTTTTATTTGCTTGATTTTGTATGTAGTGTTAAGTGGCAACCTGTCCTGAAAATGTTACATTTTTTTACACTCGAGCTGCTTTCTTTTTCGGGAATATACCAGTAGTTGACAATTCTAAAAAAACTCCCACATATTTGGGATCTTCAGAAATAATTTCACCCTGTAGTTGAAACATGTATGTACAATTTTCAAACCCATCATAAACTACTTGCATATATTTTGGCTCTTCAGAAATGCTGTTTGCTTCATTGGAAAGGCATCTTCCGCTCTCATGATTTCATGTCCATTCAGGAATTCATCTCTCCACAAATTTGTAGATGCATAAGCTGCTAAAAAAATTTAAGTTATGAAAAGAAAGCAAGAGTGTAAAAAAAAAAAAAAAAAAAAAGCCATAAACATATATTAGAAGTTACTGGTATGGTAGTCTTAAATACCAATGTGGAGTATTTTGAGATTAGTTTTATAATTTTTCAACTGGTTTATTTTCCAAATATTTTATGCTGATTTGAGAGTAAATGGTTGTATCATAACTAAAATTTATGTATAGCTTTGTGCGACT